TGTATACATAAAATGATGACAAATAAAATGATATAATGTCTAAGATTTCCTTACAAATCCAAGAATTAGATCTCTCAGAAATCTAAGGATTGAAGAGGTAATTTTTAGATTCTTTCTGTCTTAAAGAACTGGTAAAGGGCCAGGGAGATGGCTCAGTGGAATAAGTGCTTCCCTGGCAAGCGCAAGGGCCTGAGTTCAATCCCCGGTTCCGCAAAAAAAAGAACTGGTAAAGACGAACACAAAAAGTGTAGTGAGTTTTATATTTACTAAAGGTAGGAAAAGAAACATGGTCTGCAGAGCGAGTGTGGGACAATTAAAAGTATGAAAAGAAGCCGGCCACCAAGACCAGGCCGAAACTGGGCGTGGTGGCAGTGTATGCCTGTAATCTCAGTGCTGGGAGGCTGAAAACAGGAGGCTCACTACAAGTCCAAGCCCTGAAGTGACACCCTGTACCAAATACATTAAAAAAAAAAAAAAAAAAAAAAGAAAAAGACTCTACTATGATAGAATTGTCAAAAATTTGTATATTTGTGTGATCTAAATTTAATGTTAAATGTAAACTTATACAATGACGTTTAAAATGTTTTGCAATTAAATTTTTTTCTCTTGCTCATTTTCTTATAAAATAGTGGTTTTTTTTCAGAGCAGTTTTACGTTTCCATCTTTCTCTTCCTCCCAAATTGTATCCCACAAGTAGATGTCATTTATAAGAAAGGATTCTATGGTCAAATTTGTTTGATTTCTAGGATCTTCACACACTACTGAAGCATGAAACTAGGGTGTAGCAAGCTAGCTGGGGAAGTGGGTATTACCTGTCATTCACAGAAATCCAGAAAACACACCAAAGCCATGTACTGGAACCAATCTGAAAGTTTATTTCTAATTCTTCTCCTGAGAACTGAAGCAGGTGTTTGATAGGACAACCTCAATCTGACATCAGTCTGAGGAATGGGAGGTACACAAGACGGCTGCACGAACCCCGTGATCACTGTGTTCTCCCCTTCACAGAGCTTTGCTTTCACCCTATAGAGTGTACTTTTTTTCCTACTTTTAATTGCCTCATTCTCACTCTGCAGAGAACATTTATTTTCCTACCTTTAGTAAATATAAAACTCATTACACTTTTTGTGTTTGTCTTGACCAATTCTTTTAAGAAGAAAGAATCTAAAAATTACCTCTTGAAAGAAGGAGTCCCATGGGAGCTGGTGAGATGGCTCAGTGGTCTAAAGCACCTACTTGGAACAAGCTTGGGAAAGCGCAGGGACCACGGTTCGATCCCCCAGCACCACATGCCAGCCAGCCCCGCCCCCTGGTGGGCTGAGCTGGCCACACATACACACACACACACACACACACACTAAATAAATAAATAAATGTTTAAAAAAAAAAAAAAAAGAAAGAAAGAAGGAGTCCCCAGTACTACAGAACCTGGTAACACTATCATATGATAGACCCAAGAGTTACAACTGATCTCATATATGAACACATTGGGTCACAACTAGAATTTTAGGTTTATCTTATAACAAAAGTCTTGAGTTCTGACCCATCTGGGCCCAAATGTACGTCTGTGGATATGATCTTGGTCAATTTTTCATAAAATCACTAGAATTACTATCAAAATGGCCTTCAAAGAGCTAGGAAAGAAGCTAATTAAGAAAGGAAGGAAAGAAAGGAAAGACAGCAATCACAGTCAAAAAGAAGGAAATGGTCGAGAAATGAGTGATGTTTGTGGCACCTAACTTACTTATATGTACACCGTCCTGGAATCACCAACTCAACAGTCATACAGAGAAAAGATTTGTATAAGGAAGTTAGGGTTGCTAAAGGTGTTACTCAAGTTTGTCAGTCACGATCAAGTGTTAGATGGGGTAGAAGGGCTATTATTACTGTGAATAAATGAAAGGCAGATGAGGTTTCAGGTCACAGCCTATCAGTGCAAAAACTAGGGCTATGGATGCAGATCTCATAAAGGATACTCCATTGAGTGATTAATAGTGAAATACTTCATGCCAGTAAGGGGTAGTTTCACAATTTTATTTATTCATTTATTTATTGGCTGAACCAGGGATTGAACTCAGGCCCTTGCACTTGCCAGGGAAGTACTTATTCTACTGAGTCATCTCCTTGGCCACCAGTTTTATAATTTTAAAGTGAGAACTTAAGTTCACTGTGTAACTAAACCTGGTGAGGCAGCAGCCAGTGCTGATAAAAAGGCTGCTGAAAAATCATATACACCACTTTGAAACCATGATACAGAGCAATGGGTTTTGCTCTCAAGTTTTATTTTTTAAAATTAATTAATTAATTTGATACAAGGTCTTGTTAGGCAGTTTAGACTCATAGTGATCCTCTTGTCTCAGCCTCTCCAGCACAGGGATTACAGGCATGCACTACCATGCCTAGTTTTTGAGGCCAGCACAGCATGCCTTGGATTCCTGGATTAGTACAGCATGCAGTACTAGGGACAGAACTTTGACCCTTGCACTTCCTACACTGGCACTTAGACCACTGTTATTCCCCTAGTCCATCAAGTTTTCAACTGTGATGAATCTGGCCTTTTGTGTAAGAAAATGCCCTGGAGAACATACATTACCAAAGAGGAAAAGAAAATGCCAGGTTGGGCTGGCAAGATAGCTCAATGAACTAAGTGCCTGCTTAGGCAAGTGCTAGGACTTGTGTTTGATCCCTGGCACCACATGCCATGCTGGCCCCTACCCTGGGCAGGGTGAGCTGGCCACAGAAACCAGAAATGGTGGTGCACACCTATAATCCCAGCACTGGGGAGGCTGAGACGGAAGTATCACTATGAGTCGAAGATGTGTAGTGAAATCCTGTACCAAATACATAGGGGAAAAAAAAAGAAAGAAAAGAAAAATGAAAATGCCAGATTAAAAGCCTTTGAAGGATAGGCTAAACTTATTGCTATGTGCCAATATGAGTGGTGACCTAAAGATAAAACCCCTCTTGGTTTATCACTCTGAGATGCCCACAGTGGTCAAAAAACATAAAGTCATGATGAATAGTCTAGGGGTCATATGGCTATCTAAGGCAAAAGCCTAGGCAACAAGACTACTTACTATTGAGTGCATCAGGGAGCTCTCTGTCCTACTGTTAAGAGACGGTACCTAGAGGGCAAAGGTATACCACTCAAGCCTCTCTTCATGATGGTAAATGGCAACTACTTGCCCACAAGATTTAGAAGAGGAAATGGTTGACAAATTTCCTTGGGTCTCAGTTGAGGTCCTCCCACCTAATACAATTCCTTTACGGCAGCCTGTGCATCAGCAGGCTGTAGCTAACTTTAAGAAGTTATACACCAAGAAACTGTTCCTGAAGTGCTACCAGATGGTTTCAAATACAGATTTAATCAACCTTTAAAGAGCTCTGGAAGGAATATTACACTATCTTTTCTTGTGTGGGGTTAATTGAGAAGTGCTGGGCCAGTGTCTCTAAGGACACTAAGATCCTCCTGGAAGAAACTGTGGCCTAAAATTATACAGAAGAGAGACTTGGAAGGTTCTTTAGAGGAGCATGAGCCTTCAACTGAACCTATGGCTGATGACACTGCCATTAAGGCAGAGTCCATAGGCTTGAGGTAGACAGGGGTGATGTTGAGCAACTGGTGGAGGAACACTCAGAGGAACTGCCCTCAGAGAAGCTTCAGCAACTTCTGGCTGAGCAACAGAAAAAGGAAGCTCAGGAGTTCTCTGGAGAGGTGGGTGATGATTAACAATCAGTGCAGCACAGTTCTTCAGAATTGAAGGAAATCATGAAAAAATGGATGGCTACAAACATTTGTACACACTACCCACCCAGACAGAGAAAAAGGCAGTCACTGTGCCACTTGCTTAATGAATGCCATGTAATACTACAGAACTGTGTTAAAGAAAAGACAAAAGCAGACAATCTTGGACCAGTTTTTAGTTTGAAAAAGATGAGACCTTGTGAGCCAGCTTCCTGGTTCTTATGGGCGGGAACTCTCCTTCCAAACAATGACCACTGACCACCTTCTAATCCTCTTCCCTTTCTGGAAGCCAAAGTTGTCAACTGGGAATGATGAGCACAGTGTGAAATTATTGTTTCTGGTACACGAGACACATTTCGTAGCTTTGGTGGTTCACTAGGAAAATTATTGGTGTTTCTGGTAAAGTATGCACATAACACAATCATTTTTATTATGAGAAGGAAATTTGGAATGCATTATGGGTATTTCCATTATATCTTACGGGAAAAATAGTCCAGACTTACAATGAAGTTGAATTATAATCAGTCCTCATGAATATATTAAGTTCCTAAGTCAAAGGTCCATTGATATGTGCATTCAAAGTAATAGTACTTCCTTGAAAATTAAGATTCTACTATGTTTACTTTTGGAAATTGTCTTTAAAAAGTCCTCAGACATGACAAAAAGATATATGTATAAGGACATTCAATGAAATGATGTTAGTACACAGAAAACTTGTAATCATCAAACATAGTCAATAAGATAAACTAGAATATTATATAACCATTAAAAATAATGAGTTGGAGGCTATTTACTGACATGAAAGATGCTATAATGCTAAGAAAAGGAAGCAGGGCAGCCAAAGAACATTTACATCCTATTGTTTCTATCCATTATATATATATATATATATATATATATATATATATATATATACACATATATATCTTAAATTATTTTCTGAATTTATTAATAGGCATATTGCTTAATATACAATATGCCTATTAATAAATTCAAAAAAGAATGCCAGAAAGGACAAACAGTAGGATTTTTCAAGGTGATAGTATTACTACATTTTTTCCCTCTCTTTTCAGGGAACGTGTATTAATTTTATAATAGAATTTATTTTAGCTATGACACCTTTAACTACATAAGTACTTGGAAATATGTGGTACTTTAAATTATTGATATTAGACACTTTCCACGTTTAATTCAGTCCACAGACAAGAGAACTATAATTGCTTGAAGAATCTGTGGTGAGAAGACAAGTTCCTACCTTCAGCAGAGAAAATAATGAAAACATAACAAGTGTGGTGAGATCCAGCCGTGTAATGGAAGCAGTAAATCTCCAGATACTCTACGCCGTTAGGAGTCTCAATAAGGGAAGAACTCTTTTTCTCTGTAACAGAAACAACAAGGGCACCATATTTATTTACAGACTAACTTTGAAACTGGATTTTATTTGATAAAGTTAGTTGGGATTTTTAAAATTTCTACACACTGGTAGTCTTTGGCAAACAGCCAGAGCGCAGCTGTGTGCGGTGTGATGGTGCCTGCCTGAAATGCCAGTGTTTGGACAGCTCAAGCAAGAGGCCCAAGTGAGTCTGAGGTCAGCTTGGGCTGCACAGTACAAGGCTTGCTGGACCAATGGTGACACCTGGTCTCAAAAAAAGAAAACCAAAAGCAAAAGACATCTAACAATAGCCCCTGCAAAAGACAACAGAATATGGGAGAATATCTTCACCCTTTGAGCATATCATGATCAACAACTATAGTAGTAGTGTACTTTCATGTTTACTAATTATATTTAATAATTAAAAAATTGTCAATAAAATTTGGTATATAATTTTTATGTATTTTTTTATCTGCAAGACTGTATGCTATGAACTTAAATGAATGTTATTGTCATGAGTTACATTTTCTAAACAAAGTATTATTTATAATGGCATTCTAAAAAACCTCTTCATTTCTAAAAAAATGACAGCTTCTTGAAGTAATAAAATTAAATGCTTTTATTTAAAAAAAAAAAAAAAAAAAAAGACTGTATGCTAGGGGACCGGGGAGATGGCTCAGTGGAATAAGCACTTCCCTGGCAAGCACAAGGGCCTGAGTTCAATCTCCTGTTCCACCAAAAAACAAAACAAAACAAAACAAAACAAAACAAACAAACAAACCAAAAACCAAAAACAACCAAAAAGACTGTATGCTAGATTCTGAGGTGTGTCTTTTAAGACATCTTTTTCTTTACTTTTTTTGTTTTTGTTTTTGTGCACCCAGGCACTATATATACAATAGTAATCATAATGAGACAGTGTAACTATTAACATCCTTATTTTAAGATGAGCCTATTCAACTTTTGGGAAGTCATCACAAATAGCCTATTCCAGAGCTCTATTACAACTCTATTACAGCCCATTTAAAAAGAGCTTGCCTGGTCCCTAGTCTTATCATCATTGCTATCACCCACACAGACACACAAAGTTTCCAAACCCCTTTTTTTTTTTTTTTAACAATAGGAAAGGTTTATTGGGAAAGTGATATAGGAGAAAAATGAAACTCCCGACCTGAAAGGTACCTGGGATGAGTTTGTGTACTCTAAAACAGAAGAATGAATTTTAGGAACAAATGGAGGTTAAGAGCAAAATACATTTAGTGAAGGAAAGAAAGCAATCCGAAGGAGGGACAGGAGGGAGGCCCAAGCAAGTGCCATGCAAATCTTTTAAGTTAGAGTATGCATTATATCTAGGTGTCTTCCAGGAGCCGGGTGCACTCACAGGCCAGGTTTCAAAGGAGGATGGGACCATGGGAGCACTGCGGTTGCTTGGCGTTAGGAGATGGGTCCTACTCAGGGAGGTTTAGTCTCTCTCCTGGCACCTCCCTTGTCTTTCTGCTTCTTGGCCACCATGACATTAGCAGCTGTCCTCTCCCCAAGCCCTTCTGCCAAGACATTTCTGTGTGTAAATCTGCCAAACAAAGACTGAACTCTCTGAACTTGTTACTTAAAGTAGTTGGTGTTGAAGGTTTTGACCCAGCAAGAAGGAAAGTGATCAATACCAGTTAAAATGAAGAAAATACCTAGGACAGTAACTAAATGCAGTATAAAACATATACGTATAGTAAGCTTCATATAGTATTTATTGTTTGTAAAATGACCTATCTTAATCCTCACACAATTTCCCACCAGTATTCCCGTTTTTCAGATGAAAACTCTAGCTTAGGGAGGATGTTGATATAGGAAGCCTACCAAATTCCAAGCCTAAAAATGTTAAAGAGAAACATAAAATAAAACTTATTGAAATGGACAAAGCAATACAGTAGTAAAAACAATAGCTAAGCATTCTGATATATGTGGTGTGATCAAAAATATGGTGGCTATTTGCTTCATTGCTGTTTTATCTTTTTCTCATTAAAATGAATTAAAATTAAAAAATCATTATAGTAGAAGACACACCACCAGTAATTTTCCTCAAAATACTTCCTTAACCCCCTTTGAAAGCACTTATCACATTATTCTTGCCACAATCTGAAGCAATTCTGGAAGTCCTCTTTCATAACTATCTTTATTTTTGTTGTTGTGGCCTTCTCACTGCATCTGAATCAAGTTGAGACACTTTCTTTTGACACTCAGCAAGAGCCAAATGACCTACACAGCCAGACTCAGCGAATACGGTGCATGAAGACACACTGTCACATTTTTATGAGCCTGGCTTTCTGCTGTATGGCTCATAGGAGTAGCACTCACTGTGTTTTTGATAAAGACAAATAGACATAAAACAGGACTTGCAGAGCTGCTTTCCAAAGTGACAAGAACAATGAAATGGGTCTCAAGGAAGGAGGAGTATTTTGAAGGGGATTGATGGCAATGTGTGTCTCTTTCTTTTACTTTTTTTTTTTTTTTTGCAGGCAGAGTTTTGCTATATACTTTAGGCTGGCCTTGAACTCACTTTGTAGCCCAGGCTGGCCTCAAACTCACAGTAATTCTACTCAGTCTGAGTGCTGGGATTACAGGCATGTGACTACAACAGGCTGCAATGTCTTTTACTGTAATAATTTTTAAAATTTAAACATTCATCATATATTTTGATCAGCCCTGCACATACACATAGAACCACATGCCTGCATGTGCTGTGGTATTGTTACAAATATCAAGCAATACCACTATACAGTAAAACAGCATTTTCAGGCAAGGAGAGATGCAGGGAGAAATGGAGGAGGCAACTGTCTAGGAACAAGAACATGAGTAAAAATCAGCCTCAAGTACAGATTATAACTATATTGGTCCCCTACTGTCAAGTGGAGCCTCACAGATAAACAGCAGGGAAGACTGTCAACTTATTTGGTTTATGACCTTGAGAAAGTCCCTTATATTCATGGTGCCTCAGTTTCTTTTTCTTTTTCCTTTTTTTTGGCAGAACCAGGAATTGAACTCAGGCCCTTGTGCTTACCAGGGAAGCACTTATTCCACTGAGCCATCTCCCTGGCCCCCTCAGTTTCTTAATCTGTAAATGATTATAATTATTAACTGCTAAGGTTGTTACAACTATTAATATTCATAAAGCAATTATATTACAAGGCACAATAGTAAATACTGTGAGTGCGGCATGTGTTTCAAATAAATACGCGGGTGGGGCTAATTAGGCAGAGTTCAAGGACTGTGTAGGGAGTCTGCATGGGATGGTTTCTAAGGCTGTGGTGTCTGAGGACCCACAAGGACACACTGCACTATTTGGCACAGGTGTGCAGCAGGATACATTTGCATGAGCATGATGCAGCACAGACAACCATGCATGTGCTGAACGGTTATGACAGTACATAGAATGTAAACTTTGATAACAGCTAATACATATGAGCTGGACAATACAGACCCTGCTTGCTGCTGTTGCTGATGTCTGCTCTGTGTACTTTCTTTGGGGACCTTATCTGAAAACATACCCTTTTAGTTCCCCAACCCCAACAGCATGTTAGTATCTGCAGGAAACAGCCTACAAGATTATTCCCGACTTGGGGCAGGGGACAAATGAGGATGAGACAAAAGGCACAGGATGAATCTTGAACATGGGGACCAAGGGGACTTTTGCCTCTAGTGGACAAAAAAGCCCTGATTATTGGGCCCACCTCATGTTCATTTACTTAGACACAGGAGCAAGCGTAGGGTAGCAGAAGATGCATCTGCTTCCTGTTACGTCTACTCTATGCCCAGGTGAACAAGGCCATCTCAGGAGGGTTGAGTGCTCCTTGGAACTTGCCTGTGTTGCCACAGGAGCACAGTGTGTTGTTTCCCCTTTTGTGCTAACTGAAGTCAATTTGGCCTTGAGTCACATGACCTGTCCTCCTACAACTATCAGTCCTATTTCACTTCAACCGTGTAAGTAGACATTAAGTGATACTTAGCTTCAAAAGTTAGAATAGTCTTGATTATATCAACTCCCCAAATTATTAAAAAATAAACTCACAATAAACTGATCAATTGAAATGGGGCTGTTTGTGACTATCCTACCCTCAATGCACTCAATCTCATTTGAAAAAGGACCACTAGTTATTAATATCAGGTCTATTTTAAATATCAAATCACATACAAATTGCCTAATCAGTAAACTTAAAACCAGAATTGATAAACTCAAATTAAACCTCCAATCAGGCCAATCTGCCCATCTGTGTTAAGAATTTCTTCTTACTCTGGATATACTTTGAAAAGGCATACAATCATCAGTGTAGTATTCTTACCAATAATGTTAAACCTGAATTAGTAATTTTTTTTTTTAAATGTGTACTTGGTACAGGGTCCCACTACACAGCTTAGACTCATACTGATCCTCCTGTTTTTCAGCCTGGCAATGACACCAGAGATATGCCTTGGTTTTGACAGTTGCCATAGCTGGTGTATATGGAGACAAGGGCCTCTGGAGCAAGGGGGTGCAGGCAGTGCTTAAAAATGCACAAACCATAAAGATCAGTGTAGAAAGCAGCGACTTGTGGTGTGCAAAGGGACACAAAAACTGACACAATAAATGACAGATCACACCCACCGGGAAAGGCTGGGCAGGATTCAGCAACTCTCACATGAAAACATGAATGCAGAAATAAAATAGTTCTCAGGATTGACTACCAATCTTCTGAGTGAGCACGTGAATAGCTGCCTGTTGCCCAGCCATGGCACTTCATGTCTCCAAAGCCCCGGGCTTTGCCCAGATGCTCAAGGAGGGAGTGAAACATTTTTCAGGATTAGAAGAGACTGTGTATAGAAATATACAAGCTTGCAAGGAGTTTGCCCCAACACTCGTATGGACCAAACGGAATGAACGAAATGGCTGTCAGCCACCTGGAGAAGCTGCTTGTGACAGATGATGCAGCAACTATGTTAAGAGAGTTAGAAGCACAGCATCGTGCTGCAAAGATGAC